GACTGAATGAAAATGAAAAATTAAATCATATGAGGATTCAGCTTTAAGTTTGTCCGGAGGGCCGGGTACCGGAGTAAAAGAGAAAAGCTCCGGAAAGAGGCAAAAAGAGTTGTCTGCTAGGTTATAGGTGTGGTCAAACTGGACACGTGGAGAAGGATTGCACCAAACGGTGGAGCTATTCGGCTAGAAAGCTCTAACGTTGTTGCTGCCAATGTGATTCTCGTGGACGAAGGACATGACGTTAAAGATCTCTCTGTAAGTAAGAGATGTTATGTCACTCATCGGCGATATGCCTACCGTTTGAGATTGCCTATGAAAGGGAACGGATTTGGTAGGTTGGTCCACGGAAATATGCCGCACGCATTGTAGTTGACGTTGATGCCCAAAAGTGAAAATAAAACAGGCCCCCTCTGTGGTGGAGGAAAAAATAGTGTCGCGCCCAAGTCCCGCTAATTGAACTCTTTGAAAAAGTCAAACCTCCTTAAGAGGTATCTGCGACCATAAACTATTTATTTAAGGGCAGGATCAACCATCGATAGGAAAATTCTTCTGGAGTCCCGTGCCCCCTCTAAAGTCAGGTTCCAGTGGCGATGCTCTTTTATGATGCGGGTAGTCATATAATTCCTGTTGCCCCCACGATAAGAATTATGATTGTCACCCTCGCCCGTGTAGCGCAGGACAATGTTGTGTCTTTTTTTTTTTTTTTTTCAAGATGGAGATTGTTAGCCGCCTTTGTTTGAAAACAAATAAAAAGAAAATAGTTTTGCTCAATCCCACATCGGGAGATGAGCAAAAGAGGGTATAGGTTCTCTGGCCTATAAAGGAAAGCCAAAGTTTAGGTTTTCAAAACACAACCAAAAATACTTGAATATGTTTTATAGTTTAGGGATTTAGAGCAAAGTCTCTTTGGAGTCCCTGCGAGTAAAATATCTTGGGGGAGGCCCCGGCTGTTTTGAGGTGTCGGTAGAAAAATATAGGTGTAATTGTGGTTATAACAATTTGCCACATAGTAAATATTTTTCTTAATTGTCGTTTGGCAACGCCGTGGTTTCTCCATTCCCACTTGGGAAGTTTATCACGTTAAACTATGTTTCTCTTAACCTTTCTTTCCAGTCATTATTTTATTTTCTTATTTTTTCTGTTGAAACCGGGGGGGATTTTTCCCCCCGAAGGGGCGGGAAAAATTAGCGTTTCCTTCTCAACATCAAATGTGTTAGTCAATCTGGAATTACAATAAATAATGAAGAAGGTCAGGGCTTTATTTTCTTTTATCAAGACGTAAATGGGCAGAGGGGGTTAATAACATTTTATCTTATTTCGTGAATTGAAATATTTATTCTTATCTTAATTATTTATTCCCATGTTCACTCAGCTAGTCCATCCCTACTTTACTTGAATGATTAATTTTATTTATCATGAATCTAATTAAAATTCATATGTACTTTATATGATATTATGTAATGACATATGGGTAATTAAAAATTTCATATTGGTCAAAACTTTTTATTTTATGAAATTTATTGTTCTTTTCTGAGTTTAGTTCGCCATGAAATTATTGGGGATCTATTTTAAAGAAAGTTAATTAGTGTTAAAAAAAAAAAAAAATGAAAGTTGTTTTCCATATCGTTTTCTCCCTTGTTGTTTTCATTTTCTTATCATAAAATTTGTCCAAATAGGTTGTTGTAAGTTTGAACACTCTTAAAATATTTAATGGTCGCTGACCTTTTAGTAAGAAAAAATTATTTTTAGTCGGTATGACGTTGCAAGAAGAAATTAATTTTAAAAATTTTGATTATCAATATCAAGGTTTTTAAAATGTAGTCCACTAACATTAATTATGTTATTGAGAAAGAAGGTTAAAAGAACTACAATGGTTAACTAAATGGAATTAAATATAACTTTTAAATTCATTAAAATTTATTGATTGTCAAATTATATCTTTTTACAGCTCTTAAATTATAAACAAAATTATGACATTAATAAACATTAAACTAAATGTTGAGAATTTTGAAAAGATTAAATAAAATAATTATATTGTTCTATTAAGATAATTTCTCGAATATTCATTAAATAATTATATTTTTAATAAATGTATCTAATTTACAATGGGGAATTTCTTTATGCTAATAAAATTTTTCAGTTTATTTACATGAAATCAATTAGGTAATATTTATGAATTAGCACCTAGGTTCTTAAAGGTCTTTCTAGGCATAACATAGCCAGGTCTATCTAAATGATTTATTGTTATGAAGACGTAATGTTTGCTTATAATATTACATAATAATTAGAGTTAAGTAAAAATTAATCTCCACTTTTATATTATAATATGCCATATAATATATTAAACAAACTTAAAAAAATTTTTTTATATTTTTTATTGAATTATAACAATTATTTTGAAAGAGAAAGCTTCATTTTCTACTAGAGAAGAGTGCATAATTCTTGCTCGCATTTAAACATGATGTGGGAAATTTATTATTATAATAAATAATGGCCATGTGATAAAAACTAGAGAATAAATTGGAAAAAATTTTAATTTTTCAGATATCTCCATCATGTAACCACTCTCCTATGAGTAAACATCACCACTATTGGTGATATATTTTGTTTGCGTGAAGAGGATTCGAACTCTTGAAAACGTTTAAAATCTGTTTACGTCATAAACCATTACTAAATGGAGAAAATTGAAAAATTATTTCAGAATAACAAATCTGAAAATTTGAAGTCTTTGGTTAAAATTCCAACATGCACAACAATTTTTTAGATTGTATGAAACTCGAATTTCATATATGTAAAGATATATGTTCTATTTTATTCAACATCATATCCATATTTCAGGTAATTCCATTCGTTCATAAATCAATACTAGATCTATGAAAAGATCATAATAAGCAAAAAAGTTGAAAATTTTTGGGCTAAATTAAGCTTAATTACCATTTTAAGCTAAAACTTTATTTAATTTCTCAAAGATATCATAGTTCACTTATTTTTTTATAAGAATTAATTATTAAATTGATATAAGAGCAATCTTTTCAAATGATATTAGCTATGAGATAAATGTATAGAAGCGATGATCGGACTATAAATGTATAGTGAACTATTTAGGCGGTGCTATTATTATAATTTTATGTCTTACCATATATTATGAATCGAGGACTTAAGCAATAGCCGCAAGAAAACAATGAACACCATAATAAGCAAGATCGGTATTGAAGAAGAAAAAAAAAAAGGAAGACAAAAAAACAAAAACCAGAAAAAAAGGAAGATGATGATGAAGAAGGGGAAAAAAGGAAGAAAGAAAAAAATACACTAGAAGTAAGCTAAACGGTAAAGCGTCGAGAAAAAAAATGAATGATTAGTGGTAGATGCGCGAGAAAAAAAGCAAGCTTAACTTGGGTATGACAACCTGTTCCATTCCCTCTTCATTTCTATGTGCTGACTTACTGCCGCTTTCCAACCTTCAGTGTTTCCTCCCTTGGTATTCACTCCATCTCCGCCTTGAGTGTTTCCTCCTGCGGATTGCCAATCTCCGCCGCCTTGAGTGTTTCCCACCAATCTGTTACTACCTCCAATCTCTGCCTTGAGTTATTTCCACCTTTAGGGTATTACCTCCAGCTTCCACCTTGAGTGTTTCCTTCTTTGGGTGTTGCCAACTCCGCCGCCTGAGTGTTTCCACCTATGGGTATTACATCCATCTCCGCCTTGAAGTGTTTCCACCTAACGTATTGCCCCCTGTTCCACCTTGAGGTATTTCCAACCTATTGTATTATCCTCCAATCTCCGCCTTGAGTTTTCCACCTGGTTTACCTCCATTTCTGCTCTTGAGTGTTTCCTCCCTTGAGGTTGCCAACTCCGCTACCTGGAGTGTTTTCCACCTTATTATGTATTACCTCCATCTCCCGCCTTTAGTGTTTCCCACCTGGGTATTCCATCCATCTCCGCCTTGGTGTTCCTTCCTGCTCTCCGCGTATTGCCAAAACTCCTTCGCTCGTTTGGTGTTTTCCACCCCTATTGTATTACATCCATCATCTGCCCGTTGAGTAGTTTCCACCTATGGTATTGCCCCCTGTTCCACCTTGAGTATTTCCTCCTCTGGGTCTTTTGCCAATCCTCCGCCACCTTGAGTGTTTCCACCTATCTAGTATTACCTCCATTTCCGCCTTGAATGTTTCCACCTTGGGGTATTCCCTCTATCTTCTGCCTTGAGATGTTTCCTCCTTCGGGTGAATTGCCCAACTTTCCGCCGCCTTGAGTGTTTCCACCATATAGGTTTACCCTCCATCTCCGCCTTTGAGTGTTTCCACCGTATGGTTTATTGCCCCCTGTCCCTCCACCTTCGAGTATTTTCCTCCTTTCAGTGCTTGCCAACTCCGCCGGCTCAGAGTGTGGGTTTAACAACCTATTGCTATCTTATTCTCCATCTCCGCCTTGAGATGTTGGCCTCTTGCGTGATGCCAACTCCGCTCACCTTTAATCGTTTTCCTCCTTAGTATTTGCCAACCTCGGCCGCCATGACTTTTTACCACCTTAATGGTATTACCTCCAATTCTCTGCCTTTGAGTGTTTTCACCTAGGTTATTGCTCCTATTCCACCGGTTGAGTAATTTCCTCCTTGGTGTTGCAACTCCCGACCACCTTCGAGTGTTTCCATCTATTGTCATTACCTCCCATTTCCACCTTCGAGTGTTTCCACCTTGGGCTATTCCCTCCATCTTCGCCATTTTGAGACTCGTGTTTCCTACCTTGGGCTATTGGCAACTCTGCCGCCTTGAAGTTTCCACCTATGGTATTTGCCTCTATTCTGTCGCTTTCTTAGAGGTTATCCACCATATGTATTGCCCCCCTATTCACCTTGAGTACTATTCCTTCCTTGAGTGTTGCCTCATCACCCTCTCCAACCGCCTTGATGTTTTTCCACCTATCGTCGTGATTATCACTATCTCCACCCTTGAGTGTTTCCACCTATGGCATTGCCTCCCCCCCAGTTCCACCTGAGTATTTCACACCCTATTGCAATTAGCCTCTATCTTCCGCCTGAGTGTTTCCACCTGTCGGATTCCCTCCATCCTCGCCTTGAGTGTTTCCTCCTTGGTTAATTGCCAATCCGCCCGCCCGCCGCCTTGAGTGTTTCCACCTATGGTATTACCTTTAGCTCCGCCTTGAGTGTTTCCACCTATGGTATTGCCCCCTCTTCCACCTTGAGTATTTCCTCCTTGTATGTTGCCAACTCCGCCACCTTGAGTATTTCCACCTATTATATTACCTCCATTTCCGCCTTGAGTGTTTCCACCTTGGGTATTCCCTCCATCTTCGCCTTGAATGTTTCCTCCTTGGGTATTGCCAACTCCGCCGCCTTGAGTGCTTCCACCTATGGTATTGCCTCCATCTCCGCCTTGAGTGTTTCTACTTATGGTATTGACCCCTGTTCCACCTTGAGTATTTGCTCCTTCAGTGATGCCAACTCCGCCGGCTTGAGTGTTTCCACCTATGGTATTACCTCCATCTTCGCCTTGAGTGTTTCCTCCTTGGGTGTTCCCAACTCCGCCACCTATAGTGTTTCCTCCTTGGGTATTGCCAACTCCGCCGCCATGAGTGTTTCCACCTATGGTATTACCTCCATCTCCGCCTTCTGTGTTTCCACCTATGGTATTGCCCCCTGTTCCACCTTCAGTATTTGCTCCTTGAGTGACGCCAACTCCGCCAGCTTGAGTGTTTCCACCTATGGTATTACCTTCCTTTTGTAGTGGTAACCAAAATCTCCTGCCAGAACTTGAGTAGTTTTCCACCTAATAGGTATAATTTAACTCCATATATTCCGCCTTTGAGTGTTTCCACCTCTTTATAAGGCCCAATTGCCCCCCTCTAGTTTCCACCTTGATGTATTTACTCTTACCAAGTTATTGTGTCCTACATCTTGATCCGCCTGTATTACCTCCATCTCCGCCTTGAGTGTTTCCACCTTGGGTATTCCCTCCATCTCCGCCTTGAGTATTTCCTCCTTGAGTGTTGCCAACTACGCCACCTTGAGTGTTTCCACCTATCGTATTACCTCTATCTCCGCCTTTAGTGTTTCCACCTATGGCATTGCCCCCAGTTCCACCTTGAGTATTTCCACCTATTGTATTACCTCTATCTCCGCCTTGAGTGTTTCCATCTTGGGTATTCCCTCCATCTCCGCCTTGAGTGTTTCCTCCTTCGGTATTGCCAACTTCGCCGCCTTGAGTGTTTCCACCTATGGTATTACCTCCTCCATTCAGGTATTTGCCAGAACTTAGCCGCCTTGTGAGTTGTTATACCACCTATGGTATTTACCTTCATCTCCGCCTTAGAGTGTTTCCACCTATTGGTATTTTGCACTCCTCTGTTCCTCCTTGAGATTTCCTCTTTGGGTGTTTGCCAACTCACACCACCTTGTGATTGCAAATTTCCTCCTGTGAATGAGAGTATTTACCTCACATTTTTTCTTCCTTAGTAGTGTTTCCGACCCTTGGACTATTCCTTCTCATCTCTCGCCTTGAAGTGGTTTCCTTCACTTAAGTAAGTATTCCAACATCCCACCGTCGTTTGATGTTCTGTCCACCTATGGCTTATTTCACTCCTCCATCTTCCGCCTATGAGTGTTATATCCACCTATGGTATTGCCCCCTGTTCCACCTTTGAGTATTTTCTTCCTTGAGTGATGGCAACTCCGACGGCTTTGAATTGTATTTCCACACACATATGGCTTTAATATACCTCATATCCTCGCCTTGAGAGTGTTTCCTCTTGGCTGGCCAACTCCGCCACTTTAGTGTTTTCCTCCTTGGGTATGCCAACTCCGCGCCATGAGTGTTTCCACTATGGTATTACCTCCACTCCGCCTGAGTGTTTCCACCTATTGGTATTGCCCCCTGTTCCACCTGAGTATTTCCTCCTTGGTGTTGCCAACTCCACCACCTTGAGTGTTTCCCACCTATTGTATTACCTCTATTTCCGCCTGAGTGTTTTCCACCTATTGTATTACCTCTATTTCCGCCTTGAGTGTTTCCACCTTGGATATTCCCTCCATCTCCGCCTTGAGTGTTTCCTCCTTGGGTATTGCCAATTCTGCCGCCTTGGGTGTATCCACCTATGGTATTGCCCCATGGTCCACCTTGAGTATTTCCTCCTTGAGTGTTGCCAACTCCACCGCTTTGAGTGTTTCCACCTTTGGTATTACCTCCATTTCCGCCTTGAGTGTTTCCATCTATGGCATTGCCCCCTGTTCCACCTTGAGTATTTCCACCGATTGTATTACCTCTATCTCCGCCTTGACTGCTTCCACCTTGGGTATTCCCTCCATCTCCGCCTTGAGTGTTTCCTCCTTGGGTATTGCCAACTCCGCTACCTTGAGTGTTTCGACCTATGGTATTACCTACATCTCCGCCCTGAGTGTTTCCACCTATGGTATTGCCCCCTATTCCACCTTGAGTATTTCCTCCTTGGGTGTTGCCAACTCTGCCACCTTGAGTGTTTCCACCTATTGTATTTTGTTTACCTCCATTTTCACCTTGAGTGTTTCCACCTTGGGTATTTCGTCCATCTCCGACTTGAGTGTTTCCTACTTGGGTATTGCCAAACTCCGCCGCCTTTAGGTTTCCACCTTATGGTATACCTCCAATTCTCCGCCTTGAGTGTTCCACCTATGGTATTGCCCCCTGTTCCACCTTGAGTATTTCCTCTTGAGTGTTGCCAAACTCTGCCGGCTGAGTGTTCCACCTATGGTAATTTCCTCCATCTCCGCTTTGAGTGTTTCCTCCTTTGGTGTTGCCCACTCCGCCACCTTTAGTTTTCCGTCCTGGGTATTGCCAACTCCGCCTGCCATGAGTGTTTCGTTTCCTCCTTGGGTATTGCCAACTCCGCCGCCATGAGTGTTTCCACCTATGGTATTACCTCCATCTCCGCCTTGAGTGTTTCCACCTATGGTATTGTCCCCTGTTCCACCTTGAGTATTTCCTCCTGGGGTGTTGCGAACTCCGCCACCTTGAGTGTTTCCACCTATGGTATTTCCCCCTGTTCCACCTTGAGTATTTCCTCCTTGGGTGTTGCCAACTCCGCCACCTTGAGTGTTTCCACCTATTGTATTACCTCCATTTTCGCCTTGTGTGTTTCCACCTTGGATATTCCCTCCATCTCCACCTTGAGTGTTTCCTCCTTGGGTATTGCCATCTCTGTCGCCTTGAGTGTTTCCACCTATGGTATTACCTCCATCTTCGCTTTGAGTGTTTCCACCTATGGTATTGCCCACTATTCCACCTTGAGTATTTCCTCCTTGAACTCCGCCGCCTTGAGTGTTTCCACCTAATGGTATTACCTCCATCTCCGCCTTGAGTGTTCCGCCATGACATTGCCCCCTGTTCACCTGAGTATTTCCACTTTCCACCTATTGTATTACCTCTATTTCCGCCTTGAGTGTTTCCACCTTGGGTATTCCCTCCATCTCCGCCTTGAGTGTTTCCTCCTTGGGTATTGCCAACTTCGCTGCCTTGAGTGTTTCCACCTATGGTCTTACCTCTATCTCCGCGTTGAGTGTTTCCACCTGTTGTATTACCTCCATTTCCTCCTTGAGTGTTTCCACCTTGGGTATTCCCTTCATCTCCGCCTTGAGTGTTTCCTCCTTGGGTATTGCCAACTCCGCTGCCTTGAGTGTTTCCACCTATGGTATTACCTCCATCTCCGCCTTGAGTGTTTCCACCTATGGCATTGCCCCCTGTTCCACCTTGAGTATTTCCTCCTGTTATTTCCTCCTTATGGTTGCCAACTCATCGGCTTGAAGTGTTTTCCACCTATGGTATTTACCCTCCATCTCCGCCATGAAGTGTTCCTGCCTTGGGTGTTCCCAAACTCCGCCCCTTTAGTGTTTCCTCCTTGGGTATTGCCCACTCCGCCGCCTTGAGTGTTTCCAACCTATGTATTACCTCATCTCCGACCTTTAGTGTTTCCACCTTCGGGTATTCCCTCCATCTCCAGCCTTGAGTGTTTGCTCTTTGGGATTCCACTCGCCGCCCTTGCAGTGTTTCCACCTATGGTCATTTACCTCCATCTCCGCCCTTGAGTGTTTCCACCTATGGCATTGCCCCCTGTTCACCCTTGACCACCTTGAGTATTTCCACCTATTGTATTACCTCCATCTCCGCCTTGAGTGTTTCCACCTTGGGTATTCCCTCCATCTCCGCCTTGAGTGTTTCCTTCTTGGGTATTGCCAACTCCGCCGCCTTGAGTGTTTCCACCTATGGTATTAACTCCATCTCCGCTTTGAGTGTTTCCACCTATGGTATTGCCCCCTGTTCCACCTTGCGTATTTCCACCTATTGCAGTACCTCCATCTCCGCCTTGAGTGTTTCCACCTTGGGTATTACCTCTATCTCTACCTTGAGTGTTTCCACCTTGGGTATTACCTCCATCTCCGCCTTGAGTGTTTCCTCCTTGAGTGTTGCCAACTCCGCCGGCTTGAGTGTTTCCACTTCACCTTATTGGTGATTACGCTCACAATCTCCGCCTTGGGAGTGACCCCCATACTGTGGATTATACACCATGTTCTACCATTGATATATTTTCCACCTATTGTATTACCTTTCCAATCTCCGCCTTGATTGTTTCCACTTGGTAATAAACCTCATTCTCCGCGTCTTGAGTGTTTCCTCAGCCTAGGGTGATTGTCTAAAGCTCGGTGCTTGAGTGTATTTCGTCCGAGGATCATTTAATGCATGGCTCCCCGCCTTGAGTGTTTCCTCCTTGGGTATTGTCAGCTCCGGTGCCTTGAGTGTTTCGTCCGTGGGTATTAATGCCTGGTCCGCCTTGCATATTTCCTTCCTGGTTAGCATCACCGCCTTGTCCATTCCATCGTTGAATAATGCCACCTAGTTGATAAATAACTCCATTGTGAATCCTAATGATAAGGTCATGATGTGGGCAATTTTGACACATGCATGACATTGCACTTCCTAATTGAGGTAATGTTGAATGGTTCACATGTGATGATAATTGGTTATTCCCATTTTGACAATATCCATAATGAATGTTTGGCATTGGACAATAACCTATTGTTAAGATTCCGTTTTGAGGTCCGAATGATGGTATGCTCCCATTCTGAAAGTTTATTGACCGACAGTTTTGGTTATTTTTTCCGTGGGTGTTTCCAGATGGTTGATCCCCTAATCTGGATCCTTGTTGATTGTATATGTCTTGGGAATCACCTCCTTGAGCATTCATCAATTGGTTTTCTTGGACATCTCCCCCATACTGATTGCCGCATTGTTGGTTCAAGCAACAAGGAGGAGAAATGTATATTATCTGTACACAAGGGTTCAGACTCATAGGACATGTTGGTTGTAAAGTCAGCTGCTGTGTTTGGGTTGATTGGTTGTCCGCCATGGTTTCTTCAGACTCATAGGACATGTTGGTTGTAAAGTCAGCTGCTGTGTTTGGGTTGATTGGTTGTCCGCCATGGTTTCTCTGGGAGAGAACTTGGAATGTTTTTGTTAAATAGTTTGGTGTCTCTCATTTGATGTGCAAACCAAAGACTTCTGCGTCTTTATATAGACATCTAGGAGATGAAACGTGACTTGGAAAATTATTATCTTATTCGTTGCAAGTGGTTTGATGACAGTTAAACAAAATAAAAATAATTCTATTAACAATTCTATAAAAATGGAGGCCATTTGGTTTAAATTAAACAAAATTCAAACAATTCAGCCATTACATATGTCAAATAATTAATAAGTTGTGTAAAATTAATTTATTAGATGCAATTTTATAAATTGAAATATAGTTTTAATAATTTAAAAGTTTAATGGATTAACTTAAAATTTGAGGATACTAATATGTTTTTCTTATTCTTATAAATTTAAATGTCAATATTTTTTTGTTTTTTTTTTTGTTTTTGAGTATTAGGGAGAGGAGATTCGAACTTGAACCTATTGTCAAACTGTATATATACTCCTCATTAGACTATGCAGTGATGTGCATTTCTTTGATATATATAAACACAAAGTCTTGCGTCAATGAGAGAGCCATCAACCTATAAATATATGATCTATGAATAAATAAAAATAAGTTGACGAAGACTTCCAGAATTTTTTTTTTTTTTTTGAAAAAGACTTTGAGAATTGTTGAATACTAGATCTAGAAGGATGAGAATAACTTTAGGATCTAGAAGGATAAAAATAAATATATGTATAAGACATTTTGAAAACTTGTATTGTTATTTATAAAAATTAACCACCATTCAGTCACCAAACCACCAGTTATCAGCAATTCTAACTATCTAGACGTGATATGGAATATTAAATTATCGTCAGAGACCCTAATATAAAAAATTATAAAATCGCAATAATTATGAATATTAATTATGCAGAGACCTAATAAAAATATAATTAATTTAGTCAATAATAATTTATTCAATCAACATAAGAATAATTTGCTTATTTTACAATTTGTAAAATCATTTAAATCTTATATTAAACTTGCATATTTTCAATATGGATAAATGCAAAAATTTCCACTTAAATAATATTATAAGAAAAGTTTAGTGGCATCCCAAAGTCTTTGAGAATAAGTAGACAAAGACTTTGAGAATAACTTAATACCACTCTAAGTCTTCTCAAAGTCTTCGTCTACTTATTTTTATTTATTTGTAGATAATATATATTTAGGGGCTAATGGCTCTCTCACTGACTCAGCCTTTGTTTGTGTGTGTGTATATATATATATTATATATATATATATATATATATAGTTGTTATGAAAGCAATATTTCTTTAGAAAGATTTGCTGTTTTCTCCATGATTTAATGCTTACTAGACCTTCCTTCATAGCCAAACTTACCTAACATTGATATATATATATATTAATCAAGTCCTTTATTTTTTATTTATTGTTAAGGTTTAAAAGTTCATTAACAAATATCTACCTAATGCCTATTTGTTTGTATTATAAGGCTTGCTTCCGTAAAATAACCCGTAGGAAAATATTTTTTACAATTTTTCGTTGTTTGGGGCATTTAGAAAAATAATTCAACAGAAAATATTTTTCTGATAAAAAAAAATTAAGTCATTTTTTTTTTTAAGGAAAATAACTTCTCATTTTCGACAGAATAAAACATTTTTCGGACATTAAAAAACTTTATACATCCATATTTTTTAATTTATTAATCATCGTAGTCACTATAACTAGTCATCATTTACCACCGACCACCGACCACTAGCCACCGGCAGCCACCAGCACCGGCCATCGGCGACTTTCATAATTTATATATTCTTTTGCATTCTTCCATATTTAACAAGAAAATTTATAAATTATAAATTTTCTATTATTATTAAAATTTTTTATGGTCTTATGAGATAAAAACTTTAATATTTTTAACTAATTCTCAATATTACAACCAAACAATGGAAAATAAGTCATTTAGAAATATGAAAAATATTTTTCAGCAAGCTATTTTCCTGCAAGTTGTTTTACGGAAACAAACGCAGCATAAGAGAATGAATTATCTAAACTCGATTTATTGGCTCTTCTATGAACTGAATCAATATATAGATATATATATATTTTTGGGCAAATGAATTTTTGGGCAAATGAAGGAGATTTTGACTTTCCAATTAAAATAGATAAAATGAGAGTAATTTTAAAAAATATTTACTTTATTGATTTGGTTTATGAATGAATTCATAGACCAAATCTGGACAAGTTTAATCCATATTATAAAATAAGAATTCATTAACGTGGAATCATTATTGTTATATAAATTTATCTGTCAATGTGACTTACCATTAATTAACGTGTGTATAAGCAAGTGTTGTTTGAGATAATTATATAAAAATTTAAATAGGAATTTTTTACTCGAAAGATAAAATAAGGATTAAAAGAACAAAGTGAGAAGTTATATGCCAATTAATATATTTACAGACTTAAAAACATCATTATAAGGGCCTCTTTAGCCAGAGATGTGCCACCTAAATATACTCTAACCTACCAATAACATCAAGTCGTGAGGTTAATTCGGTTTAGAAAACTAAACAAATCAAATTAATAATGGTGGTGATTCACATCATGTGCTGGTTTGCCATAACCAAGAACAAAGATAAAAATTGACCAAGACCAATTTTGAAGAATTAATTAGGCTAAGTCTCTTTTAATTATTTCTCTATTGATGC